CATATATACACAGTACATCATGAAAATATTTATTTATTTTTGTCATAAAAAATTAAAGCATGTAATTAGTGAATATGTAATACTAGTTTGCCTCATATTGGCTAAAATCTATAAAAAAAATCAACAAAAGATGATAAAATGAAGCAAAGAGTTGAAGTGGTTTGAAAATATATTAAATATACGAAGTTTATCAGCCCTAACCTTGTTAAATTGAATAGAAATCAGATCCTTTTATTTTAGCAATCGTTTAAAACTATTTTTTCCAATAAATTCGAAAGAATTATACTTCGAAGGAAGTACTAGTCAGCGTTCAATCTGTGTTTTGAGTCACTGCTGCAATTTCAAACACACTTCTTTAAATGTAAATGATGGTATGAAATGAATTAACACATGGAAGACGCGTCATTAGCATTAGCTACACTTTCTAATCCAAACACAGCAAATCTGCTAAAATCTTCAGCGATGTAAAATTTTGAAATATGTGTTCCAACATTTTGCAGATGATAATASAAACACTTAAATATTTTACCTTGTAGAAGCGTTGAAAACTGAAAGTACGTTAAAGTTGCAATACCTCTTTATTGTTTATTAGCCAAGTGCTACATTTGCGTCCGGAAAAGTGTCGTAACATTTACTTCCTGTTTTGGCTTACAAATTAAAAGCATAAAATATTATTTATAGGTAAAATAGTGTTAATTTTGTTAGTTTACTGGTAATTAATGCATTTRAATTGGTATGTAGGACTTAATTAAAAAGCTATACAAACAACTTAGTTTTAAACAGATTGTGGCCATATTTGTATTATTGTGTCATTTGTATTATTTTGAAGAAAAAAGTGTATATCCGGTTAGCGCCTTTAAGAGCATCTTRAAATTTCTATACTGCCACCTGCTGGCGGGGCAGACTAAATCATTCATGCAGATGTAAATTCTAAAAATTTGCATTCATGTTCTTCCTCTCAGTGTTAAATGTGATTTAACTAATATATACTACTATTAGCTAATATATTAGTTAAATATATTGAATAAGTTTATGGGTAAATAGTTTTATTTTGTTTTTGTTTTTTGCCAAAGTTATTGCAAGGTTGATGAGTTGCTTGTCCCATTAAGCACAATAAATAAATTAACCTTTAATAAAGGCAAAAAATGAGAAGACAACGCGATTTAAAGATTATGTTTTTTCCTGTTATGCTTTATGTATTCTTTGCAACACAAAGGACATGCTGAAGTGTTGCTCAAGGATGATATTAAATTTTAATCGACTAAATATTACAGCAAAATGCATTTTTAACCATGAAAATGTTTGAGACGTTTGATAAGAAAAAGCCTTTACAAATAAAGTTTGTGATCTTTTTCTTCAGTTTTAAGTTTAAATTATTTTTAAACAAAGTTAAAAATCTTGAAATTATTAGTGATTCATTTGAAAACAAGTATTGCATGAGACTGAATTGGTTATGGTAATTACCGAAGTTATTCCTTATAAATACTTTTCATTTCTGCAACGTTAAGTAAATAGAAAAGTGAAATAAGCAAGAAAAAGCTCCATAAGAAGTAGTAAATTGGTTTTATTTTCTAATATCGCCATGTTACTTTCGAGGATAGTCGGAAATAAAAATCTCTAGAAAGTAAGTACCAATTACACACAAATTGTATAAACAAGATACAACAAAGCACATTTTAATTTACGAATAAATGCCAAGTGTCAACCTAAAACTCAAAAATCCAAAGTACACGACTAAAAGTTCCGTTCACTCCACTTGAACTTAGTATTTCTGATGGTCCRTGAAAGCAGCATCAGCCTCCAGCCAGTTGTAAACACGCTAGTGCGTTCTTGCTACGTAAACTGCGTACGCTACCCAGTCTCCAACACACCGACGTCAAATTCCGAGTGCACATTCGTGTGGAAAATAACGAGAACGCGGCGCTGCGACGCTTTCGCTACGCAGTTCGGGAGCGCGGATCAGATGTCGGGCAGGAAGAGGTTATTTCAGGCTGAATGTTAAACATATGCTTCCAGAGAGAGGTGAAGTACACCTAAGAACAAAGAATGGGAAGGAGTAAACGCGCTGTTTCGTACGCTGAAGCCCTGACTTTGTCCTCTGAGCTCAGACTTTTGCTTTTCAGCCGTATGTTCAGGGGCGACTAGCTCCGTTACGCCAAGCCAGCAGTACAGGTTAGCTTAGCTTAGGGAGGCTAACTAGCTAGCGACATCGCAGCTTTATTATTGTGGCCCACAACACACCTCCTGTCTGCTAACCCCGTCTCCACAAGAAGAGAAAATGGTGAGTCCTTCTTTTTAAATCTAAATTTGTCAATCTGTTTGGAGTTTTATTACGACATTAAAGCCAAGTTTATAGCTTTTGTCACCAGGCTGCGGTGTTAAGTGTGGAACTAGATAAACATCACTGTTTTCTTGTATTTGATTTAATTTACTAATTGCTGCAGCTTTCGCAGTTTAAAAGAAGTTGCATTCATTGGTGATGAATTTTGTAAAATTCAAAGACATTTGGATACATAAAAGCTACTAAAGCCATGATTAAAACACGATAAATGTGAATTTAGTGTTTATATAAATCTGTTTTGACATTGCACTGTTATTTAGTACATTTATTGAAAATTTAAAATACAGTTTTCTAGTTTATAGTTTTATTTTAAASCCAATGGCAGCTGCTACAGCTATTCTTAGTATTTGTGTCATATAGTACCCTCATTTCTTTGTGCTTTTCTTCCAAGGAGCCAGACTTGTACTCATTTTAAAGTGGTTCTGATCAATAGTTTGCTGAAATCTTTCCTTTTTCTTTGGACTTTGGCTGTTTTTTTTTCCCTCAGTCAGACCTTGTGCACGATCACAACATCATATTGTGCTAAAGCAATAATAGAAAGTGGACAAATAGAGGGCAAAAGATGAAGTGTCAGTCACATTTTTAAGAAATAAGCATCAAAAATCGAATACAATGCAAGAAATGCATCATCCTGCAAGTGTTTAACTCACATTTTTAGTCAACACCTCTGTGGAAAAACCCTTCTTGTTGCACTAATTCTACTTCACATTCATTATGAGCCCTAGTTTAAAGAAATATTTGATATATGTGCCAGTATGGACCTTTAATTAGTAATTTAAATAATAATTGATTTTTAATGCCTAACATCTTGCTTTGCAAAAACATCTCACCAAACCAGTTATTGTAAAATTTGCAGATGATCAGCAGGGACCGGCGTGCAGGTGCCGTTTGCAGGCGTCCCTTTCGATCGTCTGGTGTCGTGGTAAAATGTTACCCTGCTGATTCTTGTCGTGATAGGATTGTTGCATCTACGTTCTCCTATTACAGCCCTGACTCCGTTTACCTGTGTAAGTGGAARAAAATGAAACAAAATATCACGAGTGTCACCCTTTGTGATCTTTTAAAAGTGCTTGGAGCGTATTGATTTTAAGCCARAACAAAAAAGCTGTATGACTTTGGGTGAATGTGATAATTTGTCGTGCTTTATAACAAACTGGCTGCAGAAAGCCACTGGAGGCAAGTGTAAGTCTTCAGCCTATTCCTTTTTTGGTAGCTAATTGGTTTGTAAAATAATGTCAGAGGTATGGTATCTTACACAGGGATGTGTCGACATGTGACTGCACACTGGTGGACTCAATCATCTGACCCTCTGATTGGAGGACGACTGCTGTAACCGCTGATCCCCTCTCGCCCCCTACAGCAGTTAGCTGTGCACAGTTCCTGTGTGAGACYAACACTTTGACCGAATAAACTCACAGAACAAAGCAGAACTCGTGGTTTTAAAACCATAGTTCCCAAACCAGACATGTTGACTAACTATTGCACCTAAACYTTTTTAATTCAATATCTCCTGTTTTTATAATTTAATTTATTTTATCAGATCACACTTGAAACACAGATCATAGAGGTTATGTGTTTGGGATGACTCTCAGCTACTACCACACTTAATGTTAGCTCAATATCTGTAAAACTGACTGAGTTGTAGCCATTTTTTGCTTGCTAATAATATTTTTCTTTGCATGTTCAGTACTCACTGAGTTGGTATTATTCAGAAGCATTTATGTTTTGATTTTGTGCATGAAACTAAAGTAATTTAATAGAAATAGGATGGTTTTGTCAGCGTACGGTCACAGCTATAAAAACCACAAAAATCAGACTCGAAACTTTACAGATGTGTGCTTGAGATGGGCCGTCGCAGCTGCAGCTTTCTCCTCACAAGATGGTGTCTAGTTCCCAGCYGTCACCCAGCACGGCTCGTATTTCATCTTGTGGGTTTACGACGGTGTGTGTGTTCTCGAGACAAAACGTGTTCCTGGAGAAACACACACCAGGATTCACCACAGATCCAGTTTTCAGGGCTTTAATGGGTTGCATCTGTCTGTGTGAGCATCTAAACAAAGTGTAGCATAAATCTGTGGTAAAAAGGACAGATATGGCCTCAGGAGCTGAAAAATAAGGCCAATATCAAAGTGTCTGCAAAGATGGCCTCTCAGATTCTGTTACCGTAAGAAGATGACACTACTTCTCTTTTATTACTTTAGTAAAAAGTTTCCCAACGAGTAGACGATGCTTTCAGGTCATTACTGTGTGTCTTATACTTCAAGAACAGAAGTTTCATCACAAATACAGACGGACACTTCCTGTTGTGTGGTCCGATTCACGTTCACCTCAAGCTTTGATCGACCCGTTTACTCTAATCTGAGAACGGAATAATGAGGTTCAAACGTAACTTTCTCAGTTTCAAAGTCGACAAGTCAAAATGTAAACTCAGCTTTAAGTTGGTTCTGTTTTAAACAAGTGCAAGACAGGGCTCTTCTTTTCAGCATGTAGCTGCAGAGGCTGCACGAGGGCGAAAGGAGCTTCTCACTTYTGACTCCCAGTTGGATATGTTCTGTATGTGCTGAGCATCTTTTGCGTTCATCTTTGCAGGTGTACCTGCTGAACCCTATAGAGAACCTACGAGGCTACATCAACAACCGTCCACCTCTGGTCATTTTTATGATCAGCGTGAGCGCGTTGGCCATCGCCTTCCTGACCATCGGTTACTTCTTTAAGATCAAGGAGATCAAGTCTCCAGAGTTGACAGAGGTCAGACAAATCTACACAGTTYGTCTTGTTTTATGTTGTTAATGAACCATATACCATAACTCTATACTGCAGCTTATTTTAGTAGAATTAGAAATGACTCTGAGTTCTTTAAATATTTTTCTCATGAACCTGAGTTTGACCTCTGTTCCACCTGGCTGTAATGGACATAATGCAAATAAAACGTAGACATGGAGAGCGTAAATGTGAGCTGTAAAATGTCGGGAGATTTCAGATCATTTCCATAAGTCAAATAAAGTGCAGAGAAGATTTCCTGATGATAAAACCAGCAGTCATAAATAAATAAAAGTAATGCAACAGGTGTTGAAGATGTCATTATATAAGTTATTTGGTTTATTATCAATGTTTGTTCACTTTAAGCAGCAGTAGTTGGATATTTCAGATGTTTGCTGTTGTTTTATGAATCTAAAGCTAAAAAATGTTTATGAACCACTGTTGTTCTAATAGCTCACATTCAGCAGATTATAGTTGCACTCTATGTTTAAGCTCAGGTTCAGTAGGTCCATGCATACAGGTTTTTGCATTTGAACCTAAGCAGGAAGCAAATGCAAATGGAAAAATCTACATTATGTRCTTGGATGKATTGTCAGCTTCCTGGTGGAGATGAACAAATAAAATGACTAATGTTGGAGGAAGTTTTATGCGTGTAACTCCATTTAAACCCTGCGCTCTACTCAGGACTGGAACACCTTCCTGCTGCGCTACAACGAGCTGGACTTCTGCGTGTCGGAGAACGAGACGATCAAGCACGGCCTGAACGAGTCCACCACTCCGGAGAGCACGGTGGTGACCAGCGGCCAGGCTCGCTCCAGCACCCAGCCTCCCCTCCTGCTGGAGGACTCGGGTCCCATCAACATCTCCGTCTCCATCACCCTCACCTTGGACCCCCAGCGTCCGTTTGGAGGCTACTCTCGCAACATCACCCACCTGTATGCCACGGTKCTGGGGCAGCAGGTCGGCCTGTCAGGTAGCCTCTTTTCACAGCTTTTTACTGTTTTAGCTTCTTGTCTGAAGAAAACGGTCAGGAAATCAGGTTGGGGTGTAAAGATTAACTCAAAGTGTCGAATCTGGAATGTTTTTGCACAGTTTCCTTCTTTCCTCTTGACTTAAACGATTTAAATCTAMACGTTTATTTGAGCAGCAGTGGTGGCGTTGTGCAACATAAACCTGCTCTTTCTCTGCAGCTTTAAAGCTTYGAGAAAGCAGGGCAAAGTGAAAGTTACACAAACTCCACAACAATGTGTTTGTTTCTGTGTGTAGCTCTAAAATCACAACAAATACCTGAACAGGGTGCATCTTTACTTCCTCCTTTTGCTTTACATACCCTCTGTGTGGACTGGAAAGGGCTCCACAAAGTAAAACTAACAAATAAAAATACTATTAAAGTATTCAAATAAAAATAGATAATTTCTTAGGTCAATATTTAAAGCCAAGCTAATATTTCAGTTGTGCTTGCAGACATTTGCAACTTCCTCTTTAGAGGTTTTAACAATTGTATCTGCAATTATGAAACCCTCATATTCCTGCAGTTTATCATTTTTAGTGGTGATGTACAACAGTTGACATCCTGATCCATGCTAACACAGATTTCATTCTTTAAAAGTCTGTTTTTATTTTTAGATCAGCGTTGAATCATGTTTGAAAACGTGTGCGCTGCTCAGACGTTTGTGTTTCAGGACTAGTTTAACGACTTGTCCATCACGAGGCTGCAGATGACATCACTGACATACCTGACATAATTTTACATACCGACCATTAGTGTTTGTTTATTTATAGAACGTTTGTTTATAGAAACACATTACAACTATTTTATCTCTTCATCAGGTTTTTGACTTGGAGAAGCTGCAATAACAGCCTCTTCATGGTTATCAGCATCTAAATATACATTGAAACTTTGAGTCTTCAGCTGATAATCTTGTCTTTTTGAACTTAAATAAATAAACCCATAAAGTCTGTCAGCCATTACCAAGAAAGTAGTTTTCTGTGAAGTCTGTTTATAATGTTWGAGCTTTAAGAAAAACCTCAGAGTTCTCTGAACGGTCTTGTAGTGGATATGCAACTTATTAAACTTGTTTCACAAAACTAAATAAAGTTCTGTTGTCACCGCTCAGCATCAGGGAGTAAAAGCTTTAATCGAGCAAATGTTAAAAGAATAAAACCTTTTCGTGTTTTTTTTTTTAAATTTTTCCCTCTCAGGCCGAGAAGCCCACGAAGAAATAAACATCACGTTCACCCTGCCCGTGTCCTGGAACTCGGACGACTGCGTCCTGCACGGACACTGTGAGCAGGTGGTGTTCAGCACCTGCATGACCATCACAGCAGCCAGCAATATCTTCCCAGTCACAGTGTGAGTTGGAGCGCTTCCATCGCTCGCTTCTGATCTGAACGTTAGTGTGCTCTGTTAGAACAAAATCTTTACTTATTCTTTCTTTTTACATTTTATTTACATGCACAGTTTGCTTTTTTAATTTATGCAGTTACTGTCTTTACGAGGACTGTCCTCCGTTTTTTATTATGTTTTTTTCAAACCTCAGTTTTTCTACCCCTGTAAGCACTTTCATAAAGAAAACACCCGGCTGGGGTTTTTCCAGCTCCGCAGTGCATTCCACAAAGGGGCCAACAAGCAGGGGAGCAGGTAAATCTCCTGATTTTACCGTCAGGTGATTAACATGTTTTCACCAATGATTGACACCTGCAGTGAGTGGGGGGGCGCAGCTGCATTCCTGTGCACAAGTCTGCGTTTTATTTTAGTTGTTGAAACTTGTTAAAATGAGGATATTAAGCCAGAAACAGAATCGCACTGTTTTAGAAATTTGTTCAAACTTTCTGATGGTTCTCATAAAAGTGTGCAGCCAACATATTTTTTATTTGGGTTTGATGTTATTTAAATATGTGAATTGTGTGTTTAAAGTGGTTTATGATGATTGAAATTTCACTTTTTGACTGGAAAGTGTAATAAAGTGGATTTTTTTCCTTTTTTTGCCCTCTAGTGGCCCAGGAGTAAACTGCATTTTTAGAAAACAAAAAATGATCTAAAATGTATTTTTGTGTGTTTTTGATGCATCTAATTTAAGCTTTTTTTTTCTTTTTTAAGTAATATATGCATGTATATCTGCAACTTCCTGTTTAGATAAACTAATCAAGAGGCTTTAAAACATCAGTTATCACCAGGAAACAAAAACCAGATGAACTGACTCAAAGAAAACAAATCCCTTCTCTGTAGTGACTGATCGGTTTCAAGGAGTCCACCAGAACCCAGTCAGCAGCAGATTGTGCGTTTGCTTTCACAGGCAGCCGCCGCACTGCGTGCCGGAGACGTACACCAACGCCACGTCCTGGTACAAGCTGTTCACCACGGTCCGAGACTCGGACACCAAGTACAGCCAGGACTACAACCCCTTCTGGTGTTACAAAGGAGCCATCGGCAAGGTGTACCACGCACTCAACCCTAAACTCACCGTCATTGTTCCAGATGTGAGTCAGGCTTTTTCTGAGCTACGTTTCTGAGAATCACCAGAAAAAAAATTTGTTATGGTTTATGTCTAGGACAATAAATCAGTGGATTTACAGGAAAAACCAAACCTGGATGTGGTTCTGTAGAGTCTTTACAGCAGCAGAAGGAGCTCCCAATGCTCCTTCTGAGTTTTAACTTCTTTATTTTTCTTTTCTCAGGACGACCGCTCTCTCATCAACCTCCACCTGATGCACACTAGCTACTTCCTGTTTGTCATGGTCATCACTATGTTCTGCTACGCAGTCATAAAGGGGCGGCCTGGCAAAGTGCGACAAACCAACCCCGACTTTTGCCCAGAGAAGGTACAACAGACACCAGCAGTGCTTTATGACCTCAACAGGTAGTTTCAGCCAAGCATCAGTCGACCAGTGATCGGTCTACGACTCAAACTCCAATCACACCTCTGACTTTCTTCTGACTGTCCGACCTGCTTTGCTCCTGCACGTGACCTTTCCTCTCTCCTGCTTTGTGTGTCTGTTTTTAAAGGAAGACATGTTGATAAATCTTTGTTGTGAAGCCGATGCTTGCAGTCTAGTAATGTGTCATTTGTGTGCGATCAGGTGGTTTTAGTTGTAACTGTCCATGAGATGATGTGATTTCTGTTTGCAAACAGACAATACAATTTAAAGAAGGGTTTTGACTTTCACGGCAGAAGAAAACAAAGAGGAGAAATGTGACCGTCACATCAAACCAAGGATTAAATCTCAAAGTGGCGCGTGGAGAAATAAGGCTGGTTTATACTTCAAGTTGCACGTCTTGTTCCCCCTGCTGAGTGACAAAAAAATTGTGCATCTTCCGTCTGCTCTCCCGCTGCTATCCCACGGTGACAGCAGCACTCTCTTCGGATGTTATCATCCATTAAATGGACGTTATTAGCAGTGATCAGTCCCATAGAATGGCTTCAGACTGTCACCTGGTTAGTATGAGGCTTAAAGCCACTAAGTTTAGTTTTAGAGAAAATGACGTGCTAAGATAAAGTGGATCGGACTCCGGTGGTAGCAGATTGTTGCATTCCATCGTAAATGGCACTGGTAAACCACTAGGGGGCACTGTCGGGACAGTCTGAAGCCATTCTATGGGACTGATAACTGCTAATAACGTCCATTTAATGGACTGATAACATCCAAACCGGCTGACAGCAGTCGTTCATTACCCCCCAGTTACAACTCTGTGATACAGATCTTGAAATATTCCTAATTGGGGTAAACTAAAAACAGGATTTAGACCAAATATGTTTGATTTAAACTGATGAGGAAGACAAATAGAGCTGTATCTCTGGATGACTCTGGTATCAAAATGGAGCATAAAAACCAGGAATCTGAAAATATGAGGTCATCTTCAGGTTGATGTGGCGGGTCACCCCCTGAAGAGCAAACATAAAGAAATAGTTTAAACATTTGTAGTAAATTTAAAGACGTGATGTCAAAAATTGGCAGATCTGTTCTTTGAGTGTGGAGTTTAATTTTTTTTATTAAGTAAGGTAAGAGAAAAGGTTAGGAAACAATTTTTGCATCATAAACATGATCTGATGTTGTGCTAAATCAAGTTCTACACAGAGGTTTGTGTATAAATATGTGTGTTTGCAGGTCACAGTGTCTGATGTTAGACATCTGCTCTGTTCCAAACAGATAGGCTAACTAAACAAAGCAGAGCGTGTCAGGATTTATGGTCATGTTGGCCTCGGTTGTTCTGTGACCCATTTAAAGTCCTCAGCTGGTTTGTTGTGGAGCAATACTTAGGGGACAAAAAACATCTTTTATACATTTAAATATTATCTGTTTGCTTTTGTCTTAATATTTCTCTCCAGTTCAACTTCTTTCTCTCCTAAATGAATAATTCTTCAATCCTCCCTTTTTTAATTAACACATTATCTAAACATGTGACAAATATGGTGCTAAAATGAACTTGTTGCATTTCAGGTGGCGTTGTCAGAGGGTTAAAAGGACTTCAGAGAGCTCTGCCAGAGGTTACCTGTAACATGGACTCAAAGGAAATGGAGGAAATAAAAAAATACATCCCAGTTGCCTAGTGAACCCTGGACGTACAATAAGGGACACAAAATCTCTGTGAATGCATTACTCTCGCAATGTTGGGTTTCTCCAACCAAAGATATACAAGTGCCTGTATTTGTGGTGTAAATATTCGTTGGTACTCCTGAGTTTCTGTGTAAAACCTTTTTTGTTTGTTTGTTTTTTGTCTACTTTTATTATTTTTTGCCTGATTGCCCCCCCACGTGCCATGCCAGAATGAGTACACAGGCCACATCCAACAAATGATTTAGTTTTTCCAGTCGTTTCTCTGATGTTTAACGCTGATTTCTAATCAGTGTTTACACATTAAGCCGTTTCAAACCCTACAGTTTGAGCTCATGATGGAAAATTACTAAAAACCCAAGTAGATGCAGGTGCTTGAGTCACATTGGTTTAAATGATTTGCCTGGTCAGGAACGTTGATGCTACTTGCAGTTTATTCAGGCTTTGTGCAATGAGTTTACTTCTTGAAATACTCCATTATATTCTGTCTCTAGTGATGAAAATGGAGTATTGAAGTAACGACACGTTAATGTAGGAGAAAYGAGCCCCGTCGTCTCAGTTCCTCTTCTGTTTGGTGTGTTTGCATTTTTACAGCTGCCTGAATCAGCTGCAGACGGTCTCCCTGTGTGGAGACAAGTACATCTCACCCTGAAAAAAACACCTCGCCTCTTCAGTTTTACCCTCYGCAGCTTCATCAGTGGTTTCTAGTTTTACCTGATGTCTTCTTGGCTGCAGATGGATGATAAAATATCCTGCCTTACTGAAACTTACTGTCCCGTTTAGCTGCGTTTTATTCCTTTACAGCCAAATTTAAGTCTTTACAAATGCATTGTTTTTTTTGTCTTAGATAAACAGCTGCACCGTGTGGTTTGTAGTGACACCTAGTGGCGCATATTATAAACAGCAACCAACCCAATACCCCCATCAGAAATAAAAACCCAGATCATTATCTCTGCCAATCTAAATATTACACTGGAACTTTAATGCAACTGTCAAGATTATATTTTGTAACTAAGCGTTTTATTTTAGGCTAGTAGATTTCAGTTGCACGTCAAGTGTTAGCATCGTTAGCATCAGCGCACCTTCAGATTTATTGCACTTTTTTTTTTCTTGTCTAAGATCACATTTAAACCATCGACTAGTTGGTCTCCATGTACAAAAAGTTAATTACACACTAACTATTGCTGTCAGTAAATTAAAGTTAACTGCAGTTATAAAAGAAATTGTTTGATCTCAGAGGAAAAGCTGTGTTTTAGATAGATGAATCCTTTATGTACTGATGTGAGTAAATTGTTTTGGTACCCTTCCACAATAATTAAAAAGAATTAAATATCCACAGCTGATACGAGCGGATAAAATCCTCCTGTTTGTCTCATCAGTTCCAGAAATGTTGGTTCTTTTTGACGTGTGTTTTGGTGAATTCCTGTCTGGGTTTAGTTTTTCTGTCGGTACTGGAGCCTCCTGGATGATTCAAAACAGGACAAACGTTGCGATCAGAAACCTTCACCTTGATTGGTTTTGGATAATTTCCTTTTTCTACCAACCCCGTCTGTTTGATCAGCACGGAGTCGCATTTTCTCTTGCATCCACATTCTGGGAGGTTGGCTACGGTCTCATAAATGTGCATTTTCCGATTATCAGCTGTGATCAGAGGGACATGTAGCCTTTTGCTAAAACACCTGTGGTATTAGCTTAGTTTGAATCCTGTCTTTAATGTCTCTTTAAGGGAACCAACAAATCTGTCCAAACTATTTCATCTTATTTTCATACAAATATACAATTTTGTCCTCACGTACTAAAAGCATGCAGTTATACATCAGACACTTGTTTTTAACTGAATCTTTTCACGACAAATGAAGCAATGATGTAAGGATACCAACTAATTAATGAGTCTGTATATTTGTGATAAGTTGAATAATGTGAGCATGAACTCGCTGTGTGGATGAATGAATGAATGGGATGTTTGTAACCTTGTTCTGAGTGTGTTCTGCAGAACCTTTTGTTCATGTTTCTCTTGTGTTGAGGTGAATCTGATTGTTTATCCTAAAATAGGAAAGAAATCTAGTTTTCCCACGGTTTCATTGAAGGAGAAGCAGAAGATGTGTCTGCTCGTTTCGTTATGGATGATTTATTATTATTTTCTCCCAATGATAGCTTGTACTTACCTCTGTACTTTAATTTTGTTCCATTTTTAATGTACCCGTTGAATGTACTTTTTTATAAACGGCATAATCTGAATCTAAGATGCAAGAATTCCAWGTGATTTAAAGCTATGATGTTTGTTTTTATTGTTTGAAGTTTGAAAGGCTTTACTTGAATTGTTTTGTGTGGTTTTCACATTATAGACGTGTTTCTTTTGTGGTTTAAAAATACTGAAACTCATATCAAAATCTGCATTTATTGAGTTTGTGTGAAAGCTGATGAAGAAGTGAGGAGTTTGTTTAATCTGAACAATTCTAGTATGCAAGTCTTCCTAAATCTGACCTGTGTCACATTTAAACACAAATCTGTTGCTTTGATTGTTACTGGTTTTGTTTTAAAATCTGGCAGCTTTTTTTTTTTTTTTGGTTTTGTTTTATTTTGGGAGCTTCTGAGTGACTGTCAGGGTGTTTGTGAGTAAAATGTGCAGTTGAAGCATGTTATTTCACCTGCATATATCTGCTTTGTATCCATTCTCGTGTAAATTTTTTTTTTTCGAATCACCTCATTAACTGCGAATTGCCTTAACGCTGTCCTGTTTCATTTGATTTTCACATATTGTAAAACAAGCATTGTTAACAGGAACAAACCTAAAGTTTAGTTTCATCTCATGTGCGCTACAAGCAGCCACACTTTGCGTGTACATGTATAAWAATGTTTTTTTAAGCAGCTGCTTGAAATTGTATTTCACTCCACTATATCACCATTAAGAGCAACGGAGTCATGTTAATTTTTTTTTCCTTTTACATTAGAAAAGGTGTCCAGTATGATGCTGCCATTACACTTTCTTCTCCTTCCTGTCATGTTAGCAGCGCTTTCACGCAAGTATTAAGCCAACTCTGTGCCTTCTGCACTGTGGAGCTGCATCTTCCTGTACATACCGTAGATAGGACCGTAGGTTTTATTGTGGCTAAGGCGTCATTCAATTCCCCCTTTTTCTTTCTTCAGTGGAACTGCTGTAAATGAACTCAAATTTAAATAAATTGTTTCAAAAGTTCAATATCTTCTTTTCCCTGGTAATTGCCTTTCATTTTCTCATTGTTTGAAAAAGGTGGATAATTTACCTGAGAAAAAGTCATAAACTGTGTTCTCTAAGGTATTCTGTCAGGGGTGTAAGCATATAGGGTGCCTCAGTTGTTTTTAGGAGCAATCTGGTTTCTAAAACCAAAGCAGGAGCAGTGCCCACAGAGACACTGCTATGTGTTGACAGTCCTGTTCTGGTTTTATTGGACCTTACAGCATTCTTTGACACTGGACCATTCTGTCCTGACTCATCTAAAACCACTGGTATTTGTGGCACTGCACTGAAGAGGCTTACTTCCTGTCTGACAACATTCTCTGCCATGATCAATAATTTATCCTCCTCCAATGCWCCTCTTTTGTGTGGGGTGCCACAAGGCTCTGTTTTTGGTCCCCTTTTCCAATTTACATGCTGCCACTAGAACAGGGATGTCCAAATTGTGGCCCCTTATTTCAGTTCAAGAATTATACTAACTTGTTTACAAATTTGTCCCCCCGGCACAGATGTTTGATGTAGATGGAGACTTTCTATTTATTATTACGGCTAATTTATCACAGACAAAGTAAAATCTTATAATTAAAAATATTGGCAACAATACCAATTATTTGTCTTTAAATAACCAAACTCATAGCTTTTTCATCTATCTAATGACTTCTACTCAAAAGCTGATTTTGCTGCACTCCAATCTGCTTTTAATTAATTTCTTAAATTTGTCTGAATACAGCAAGCATTTTCAACAAAAGAGTGACCTAAATCCTGATTTTATTGATCAGAATTGACTAAATTGGGTTATTTTTTCACCAATTGAAACCTAAAAAATTGCTACATTTCTTTCAATAAGGAAAACCCGCAAAACACTTTTAAAGTTCTAGATCTAGATTAATTTAGGCATCCATTTCCAGCAATAAATCTGACAACTTTATTTGTTTAATTAAAGTATGCAGTGCTTAGTTTATTGTTGAACAGGTAAAGGGAAAATATTTTTGGCCCTCAGGTCCTTCTGACTTTATGATTTTGGCCCATGAGACAAAATGTTTGGACACCCAGAAGATATATCTGTGCACAAAGTGTCCTTCCATTATTATGTAGATTATTCACAGTTTTCCCTAAGAAGACTTCAACTTGTCCACAATGTAAGACAAGTGCTCCTATGTGCTCTATGTGCTCCTATAATCAGTGAAATGTGGTAGAAGTAAGAAGGTTTAAGATATTCAGAGTGGGAATCATATATTTATTAGCTCAACACTTTGAGGTAAATATGGATGCAGATGTGGATTTCCTGTTTTTATGCCCTGAATTCAGGATCCTGTGCAGAAAAACAGCTTTCTCCAGTTTTGCTGATTAATCCTCTCCATAACCATTACAGCTGAATAGTTGTTGCCAGAAACTGCCTCTGTCCCTGCGGCACATCTGGGCAGTTTCCAGCCAGGTTTGAAGCACAGAAATGGGAAAAACAGCATTCATTGGCCAAAAGTACATGCAATTTCCTCCCTTTTTACTGTTCCACTAGCTTTAGTGAGTAATTATTACAGGAGTGTTCTGATGAAGCTAAACTGGGTTGATGTAGAATGAATATAATGGGACAAAATGGAGGGTAATTTTAATGGAAGGAGCAAACAAAAGACTCGCTGAGAACAGAACATTTGTGTTCAGAGTGAAAGAGCGGAAACAGGAAGTCAAAAATCATGAAAAACATGCTGTTGTGATCAGTTTGCTTCTAATATTAAACCAGGAGCGGCTGCTGAAATTTGCCAGTTTTTATTAATCTTTTCCTGTTATTTTAAAAATAATTTTGTGTTTTTGACGTTAAACTCAGCAGGGACAGTGATTAATGTAGCAAAATCACATCCTGGAGGAGACTGGATTTATTCCAAGAAAGATGAGAGGGAAAAGTAAGATGTACTCTCTAAAAACAGTACTTAATACACTTTGAATCACTTGCTGTAATAATGCACTTCATAGGCAAGAACTGAACAAAACTCTGTTTATTATAAATGCTCATCATTTTTTAAATGAAGCAAACACAGATTTATGCATAAAATACTTGGCATCCATGTCTCTGTCTTTGTTAATGTATTTTTGTAAAATATCACATTAACCAGATGGATTTTTAAAAAAATGCCCAGGAGATAATCCTCGACTATATTTAAAAGTTATTAACTTTTGGAATCTGCTTGATTCAAAATGGCCACTGCAACTTTTTGATAGTTTCATTTAAACTTGAAAATACCCAAAACAATTAAAAACAACTAGTCAGGCATTTGAAAAATCATGATTATTCAACTTCCAATTAATTCAATTTCAATTAATTCAATTACCCATACATTTTCAGACACCTGCGAAAGGAGACCGGAAATTGAACAATTGTTGCCAGGTATGCAACAATTATCACTATTATACAACGGATTTAGGGTTTATATGATCAATGTCTATTTAAAAACCAAAATATACAACAATTTATCATGGCACTTCATCTTACAACCCCATTCACCAACCCATAGGCCAAGAATGTGTACCCTAACTTAGCACATACAAATGTTTGGGTCGAAATACGAAATTATTAAATAGAATGTACGACATTTTGTCGTTTTATGTGGCAACTCGGCTCCTACTGCTAGCTGTGGCCGTCAGCAAGAATCCAAGCAAAGAAAAGTAAGTAGAAAGATAAATTTCATTTGTTTTAGCACAGATTACTTCTTGTGTTTTAGAGTTTAATAATTGGTGTCGAAGTGGGATTGCTAACTTTTGAAATGTGTGAAGTCTCGGTAACTAGAGTTAGCAAGTTAAGCTTAGCTTCCGAACATTTCATTGCTAAAATTCAATTCAACTAAAAATGTTTTATCGATCTCAAAAGGAAATTACAGTTTGGCATGTTGATTGGTATATTTCTACGTTTGCTAAATAACTTAAAACAAACTTTTCTTCCTGTTTCTCTTGGATTTTTCTAGAAATTTCTATTTTTTCTTTAGTCTTTGCATGTTTTGGGTTAAATGATAATAAAGTTGGAAAAATGGGTCTCCAAAATGATTGAAAATGTACCTAATATCCCTTTCAACACTCCAATTTTCTTTTCCACACTTTTAACCACCTACTGTGTAAAGTTTCTACTTCCACCAGCAGGTGGCAGTGTTACAGCTGAAAGTGCTGGAATGTTTCAGGACCTTGGCCAAGGACTGGAGCTGTCCAAGGTCCTGAAAGCGCTGGAATGGTTCAGATGTGCAGATACTGTTCATCAAGAACATGATGCAGAGAAATATTTGTGAGACAAATTATTATACTAGTTTTCACAAAATAGTCTTTATCATTTCAGTGTCAGCACAGAGTTTATTTCTTCTTTATAGGTTACATGTTTCATGCATATCTTTCAGCTATTTTGCATAATATTCCCTTTTTATGAACCTGTGTGTAAGCACAAAAAATAAAGATCCAAAATGGAACAACCACAGTGGAAAAACCTTGGGGGAAGCTTATCTCAAGGAAAAAGGCAGTGTTCTTTTATCAACGTAAAAACAGGTGAAATTATGGTGGGATCTTATTCAGCCACTGTGGGCTATTTAAGAATATTTAAAAAGGTCACCCCCCACCATCGACTCCCTCATTTCTCCTGAGTCTCTGGGCAACTGGAGAGGCAGAACCTCTGTGGAGCTCTTGTTAGGAGACCATTAATCACGTTTCTCCACACAGAACATGCTGTTTGTCAGAGATTGTTACCCGTAGGTTGTTAACGCGCCGGCTCTGAATTTCAGTGGCATAAACAAAGGCTGCTTTACGACTCTGGATCGGGTTCAGAGCTGCTTGTTAGCTTCCCCTTGATAGCTGTGTTAGCTGGAGTCAGTGAGGTGTGGAAAACTAAGCCGGAGTCCTCCTTCGTCTTTTTATTTTACTCGTTAGGAGTGCAGAAAATACAAGGCTGAGACTCAGCTGACTGTCGAGGAAGAAGTGGTCCAGCTGGATGAAAAACTGAATGTTCTGAAACCAGAGCTGCTTAAAGTTGCTGAAGAAGCCAAAACTGATTTGTTTAAACATAAAAGCTAAAATTAGGGAAAATGCTTGTCAAAACTTACAAGCAACAACTAAAATTAACAAAACAAATGCTAAAGCTAAAATAACAATGAGCAAGCAATGATTTATAAAAGTAGAAAAATGGTACAAAGGCTAAAATTGGCTTAACAGTAGCTAAAATATTTTGAGCAGTAAATAAAATGAGCAAAACTGAAGCTAGAACAATAGCTAAAAGGAATGAGGTCAATAAATGGCAAAAAATGTTTACTAAAACTATTAAAGCTGTGGCTATATGGCAAAAGTAGCTGATAGTAGCTAAAGTCGGAAAACAGGAGCTAAAATAGCAAAACTAGCTAAAAAGTTAAAGTAGCAGATAGTAGCTAAACATAGAACTGTAGCTAAAAGGTAAATGTAGCAGATAATAGCTAAAGTTGGAAAGCAGGAGCTTAAAATTGCTAAACTAGCTAAAAGGTAAATGTAGCAGACAATAGCTAAAGTTGTCAATACAAAGTCCTCAGTTTGGTGTGTGTGTGTGTGTGTGTGTGTGTGTGTGTGTGTG